TCCATTCGAGTTTTATCAAGCTGAGCCGAGCCGATCTCGGCTCGTTAACCGAATGAGCTTTAGATGACCTCGAGCTATAAACAAGCCGAGTCGAACTCGAGCATTAACGAGTCGAGCCAAACTCGTTTAATTTAACAACACTACCGTAACATAGTTTGATTCGACTTGTGAAAGGTCAACCTCGTCTCACTTGTATATTTAAACGAGTTAATTAAAGTCAAACAACTAATCGAGTTATTCTACCAAACAAGTCGAGTTGAACGCGTTCGCAATCGACTCGGTTAGAATTTTAGATTTTGGTCTAGATTTAAAATTTTATTAAACGATTCGAACCGAGTTTAAACGATCTGAAATCGGGCTCACATTTCTGCTTGTTTTTTAAACGAGTTGAGTCATGCCAACTCGCTTATTAATGTACACGAGTTTAAACATGAAGTACTTGACTCGAATAATCTAGCTAGACACACACATATATATAAAAAAGTATACAAACAATTTTGAAGAATTAATTTAAATTACATGAATCACGCATTAAATAATACTATTAATATATGGATGTTGTATTTGTAGAATAAAAATCAATTATATGGTCTCCCTAAAAAAACTTGTAAATTGTCAACTACTCTTTTATACATATTAGTACGTACCCCGTGCGATGCTTGGGACAAAGATATTAAATGAGTTATTTTCACACCCTTGTCCGTTTAAGTCTAAAAAATAATAGGGTTATTATCTATTTTTTACCTCTTTTAATCAACGTTAAGTCTAAAAAACAATAGGGTTATTATAAGTTTTTTTCCACATCTTTTAACCAGCGTTGTTTTTTTACCNGAATATTATTAAATAGTGTAGTAGAATTGTTATAAAATTTATAAATTATTTTTTTTTTACAATATGGATTTAATATCTTTAAAAGATTTGATAATATATCTATAATATATTCTTAATGATATAATACTATGAGATACAGATTTACATAATAATATGAATTTATTCCTTAATGTTAAGATATTGAATTAGGTAATATATGATTCACTAATTTGTAATATGTCTCTTTTTATATTGAAAATAATCATGTGATTGAGTAGAGATAACAATTATCTATAAATTCCTTCATTTAAGGAATAATTTTTAAATTGGTCCAAGTGTTGAATGCAGTCGATTTTCTTGTAACTAAAATGAGAAGAGATTTTGAATTTTAAAATTTCACTTCAAAACCACACGTATATTTGGATGCAGATTTTATTAAAAATAAAATGAGAAGAGATTTTGAATTTCATATTCACTTTAATATCTGTCGAAATTTTCAAAAAATGAATTCAACAAAACCCATAATTTTAGGGGCATTTAATGCTACCCTATTTTATGATTTAAAATATCTAAAAATTTTTAAATATGGTGTGCAATTAATTATTTTAAAAGATGAACCGCTTTTGTTACCAAAAAATTTGGGCACAATTTTGAATGTGCATCCCGTCCAAATATCAGTTTTATTTTAAAATACAAATTGCACATGGTTTTAACCAATTTACACACTTTTTTTTAAAGAAAAAATTATTCATTAAGATTGGAAGAATTGGTTAGAAATTATACAACTATTTGTTTCCTAAATTTGTATCCAATTTGCACGATTTTTAAATTGACTTGTATTTAGAATTGTTTTCATAAATAATTGACACATTTTTTGCATAAGAATCTCTAAATTTGTTACCAAAAAAGATATGATTTAAATTTTGGTAAAAAAATAAAATATGATACTAAAAAAATGGGATTCAAATTTTGTCATAAGAATCTCCAAATTTTTTACTGAAAAAATGGGATTCAGATTTTGTTTCTAAAGATTTACATGTATTTTTTCGAACTTTCCATTAATAGTAAGTCAAACATTATATTTATTTGGTCAAACTTTCTATTAATGTATTTTTCCAACAACCTCTTTATATATATATAGATATAAATATAGATACCAAATCATAACTTTTAATTAATTAACTATTATCTTTTTAAATGCAAAGATATTTCTTCTCATATATTTGAATTTTAATTAGAAAAAATAATACATTTATTACCACCATGACATGATAGACTAATCGCTTTATTCTTGTTGTATGGCATAACATTTAAGGTTCATATATCATTTCATTGAATATGTCACATAAATAAATGAGACTCGATATTAAATTTTTTATATACTGAAATACCATTTATTGAAAAATCAGAAAAATACATACCTAAATTGTAAAATCAATAAATTCAACCGCATACTAAATATTCTAATGGAAGTCTAACACAACTACACAAGCAATTATTGTCTCGAATAAAACTATTAAAATAAATTTTATTTAACTACATAATATGATATAAACACAAAAAGAAGACAAAAAACGACATAATGAGCTAAAAGGAACAACGAAAAAAGACTTAAACCATTTTCAGATATATAATTCATTGATTTAATTTAAAATAAATATGATTTATTTTGGACCAAAATAAGATTAATCTATGTCTAGTCTAATATAACAGAGCTAAAATATTTTTACTAGTATATATTTAGATGGACCGGACAATTAAGACCGGGCTGGAGCCCACTCAGCCTTTGGGTGGCTCCGCCCCTGATGGTATTACTAGTGCGTATCCCGTGCGATGCACGGGTAAACAATATTAGTGAATAATTATATATTAAAGATGAAGTTAAATAATATTAACTAATAATTATAAATTAAAGATGTGAACTTCATATGTAATATAATTTATGGTATATGAGTTGTAAACAATATATAATTATCTTGTATAAAAGAATTTGAAAAAAATGATTGTTTAAAGTATTAAAAACGTCTAAAATATTATATAACATATGTAAAAGTATCTAAAATTTTAAATATCATTATTGAAAGATGTGGAGTCATCTAAAAATTTTTTAAACTATTTTGTAAAAAAAAAAACATGCCTAAAACTATTTATATTTAACATATGTATATGTATATGTGTATGTGGACATGTATAATGTGTACAAAATTGTCTAAGCAATATGTTTAAAATTATATAAAATCTTATGAGTCTAATAACAGTTATTGTCTCGCGAAAAAAGCAAAGCAAGGCATTGAGATGATATCGATAATTAAAACATAACTTCCATGTAAGTTATAACAAATAAAATAGAATTTTATATCTAAAATTACCATGCTTTATAACTCTTATTCACTTTTTATGTAATACAAAATCTTATATCACATATCTAAAAAGTATTCAAAATATTTTACATTATTTTTGAAATATGTGTGAAGTCACCTAAAATTTTTTTAAACTATGTTGTAAGGAAAACAATTTCTTAATCTAGAGAATATGTAAAAATTTGTCTAAATATTTTTAAAACATTAAGAATACCTAAACTATTATATAAAGTGTGTAAAAGTATCTAAAATATTATATATTATTCTTGAAAAATATGAAATTATCTCATTTTTTTTCTAAACTATTTTATAAAAAAAGTATCTAAAATCACTTAAAGTTAACATTTCTCTCTCTATATATATACACTTTAACGAATGTGTAAAAAAAATTACTCAAACAACATGTTTAAATTATATAATATTATATACAAAAATATATTTAGAGTTATATCCACTGTTATATATTATAGTCTAAAAAACCGTTGGTCCAACAAACATTAATAATTTTAAGCAAAAATATTAGTAATTACAAATACCATAAAAAAATAATTAGACAATACAACATGCGCTAATAATTTTATTAGAGGACTTATATTTTGGAGAATTGCTTTTTTATATAGTAGATACCCTAAAAAAATTTATTAGACGGAGAATTGATCGAGCAAGTATTCGTAATTTTAAATAAAATTCGGATAGAGTTTTGGAGAGGCCGATTTTTTTAAGTGCTGACATTTAATTTATAAGATTCTTTAATTTGTGACGGATTGAAAATTAAAATTCGTGGTATTATTATTTTTTAATATAAAATAAGTGTTATATTAAGGAGATTTAATAGGATAAGATTTTTTAATGGGATAAGATTTTCTAACGCAAAATCAGTGCATTGGTCAATTACAAAATAACAATATCCCAAAAATCTTGGAAAGCATTAATTGCACAGGGAAGCTTTAAAAAAATAATTTATTACCATTAATGACAAGTAATTAATGCAAAACATGTTGACTAAGAATTTGACTTATCATTTTTAAAAAATTGTTATTCTTTTTATATAATGATAGATTGGACTATTCATATTTTCACTTATCAACAATTTCAATGATGGTTCTATGTATGTTATTAAAAACTACCAAGATGAGCATTATCGGCATTTCAATAATATATGATTTTCATATTTTATATCTTATGATTTTCATATTTTATATCTTTTTTATTGTCACAGTGAGATATTTAATTAGAAATACCATATTTTAACTAAAATTTTAAAAAATGTTTGAAGGAACAAAGCTTGCCCTGTACATTGTACGTTCATCTGAATAGTATTGTACATTTATTTAAAGATTATAACTACATAATAATTAGACACTAATGATTTTTTATTTTTTTTTCTTTCATTTACACAAAACCAAAAGACGTGAAAATAATCGGACGGTTGGTGTGGAGGTGGACCACATAATCATGAACATCACGAAAAGCGGAGGTTTTAGCCACACACGATCACAGTTGTACTTGGATGGGTCCCTTATAACTCCTTCACATTGGAATTTTCCAAATGTTTCAATATTATAATTATTATATTATTATTATATTATTATTATTATTGTCGTCGTTGTTATCCACCCAGCAAGCAGAGTAGCTCGTGAAATAGTAAATTGTGCACATTTGCTATTAATTCTCACAAGGGCATTTTGGTCACGCGAGTCTCACGCTGTCATCAACCGTTTCGTAAATCTAGGGAAATCTTTTGTTTATTTTTCTTATAGGAGCAAACCACCGGAGATTTTCGAGGGAAGAGGAAGATTAAAAAACAAACAGAATTTACTATTCAACATACTTTTTTTTTTTTAATTTAAATTTTTTCTATCTGAAAAGCCAACAAAAAACATTATGAGGCGATAAGTACTACTTTATTTTTTGAATTAATAAAAATAGGTTTCTTAAAATAAAACACTTAAACTGCCAATATGAGCAGCACAGTAAAGCACCATTTCTTCTCATTTTTTGTTTCTGAAACCGGTCTCTGTTTCCTCTCAAAACCCAGTTGTGAGTGAGTGAGAAGCACGACAGAGTAATAGAGATGTTCAGAGAGAGAAGACTAGTTTGTTTTGGGGATAAGATGTGGAAATACTAGCAGTTTTTCATTTGTTCTTCTTTGCACTTTCCATTTTTCGCAGGTTGGATCTGTTGTTCCTTGTGACTATTTTATTTTGCTGGGTTATGTCTGTTGGGTGCCATCCATGTTCTTGTATAGCTTCTTTATTTGTTTTTCGTGTGAGTGTAAAGGTTGGATTTTTAGTTTTTTACTCGTTTTATTTTTGTGCTTTGCATGTGCTCTGATTTACGGGGAAAAAAATTTAACTTGGTTGTTTTGTGGAGGATTTGAACACCCTTTTTCTCAGATGGGTTATTAGTATTTTCTGTGGTGATTAGCCCATATAGTATGAAAGAATACAATCTGATGCTAGGATTATGTTTTGCAAGTGAAGACTTGAATTTTTTTTCTCTTTTGTTATATTAATCGATTGTAGATTTATTAAGTTTCCCATGACTTGGTGGTTTTCTTCATCATTTTCAACAACCTTTCCTCTTTCAATTTCCTGTTTTTGGGTGCATGTGACTAGTTTTGGATAACGTTTTGCTTATTTGTCTGGTAGATAGGAATTAGGATTGCTTATTGTTGCATAGCTTTTTCACTCAATGCTTTGCTGTTCTTTTTCCTTTTCTTTTCTTTACCATTTATGGTTCCTGGTATCTAAAATTTGAAATGGAACATTCATTCCTCACTAGATCTACAAGAAAGAACAAAACTAGAAAAATTCAAATGTTACTACACTTATCCTATCACCACACATAAATTTCAATTCAACTAATTCCTCTGTTGCTGCAAATGCAGACTAATAAATAAATGAAAAAAATGGATTCGTCGGAGGCCGCAAAGGTTATCATCGACAGAATCTCGAGGCTCGAACCAGAACACATAGCGAAAAAGATAATCGGCTACATTTACTTTCAAGGCCTTTCGGACCAAGAAATGATCCGCTTGGCATTAGGGCCCGACTTCTTACTCCACAGCTTGATCCAAAAGGCCAAAACCGCTCGTCTATTAGCTCCAGCACCTCCCGTTATATCTCCCCCAATTTCCCCGACAATAAATTCCGACCCTCCTTTCCAGCACAGCCCATTTCGGCCCGTTTCAGCCCAATCAGGCCCAATCCGAAGAATGAACCCTCCTCACTGGGACCTGCAGCTGGGCCCGCCTTTCAAAATGATACCTTATTCTGTGGGAACAGAGGACTCTCTTGTTGAGTCCGTGCATTCGAATTTCCCGAGCGATTTCTACTGCAATAGAAGGAGTTCACCGGGCCCGGGCCCACTTGACTATCATCCCGTGAAAACGTGTCATTACTTCAGCAAGGGCTTCTGCAAGCACGGCAGCGATTGTAGGTACTTCCACGGGGAATCTTTTCCAGACGGATGCTATTTGTTCGGCCCAAACCACAAGTATGACGTGGCGCCAGCTGGCGACGAGCACGTTTTCTCGCCGGGTTCCCTCGAGAAGCTCGAGCTGGAAATAACGGAGCTTCTGAAGTCGAGAAGAGGCCACCCTGTGTCGATTGCGTCCCTTCCGATGATGTATTATGAGAAATACGGAAGGACTCTGCAGGCTGAAGGGTATTTGACCGAGAGTCAAAGGCACGGAAAAGCTGGGTATAGCTTGACGAAACTTCTTGCGAGGCTGAAAAGCAGCATACGGTTAATTGACAGGTGTAACTGTCGGTTAAACTTATTTTTACGTTTTCTTTTACTGTTTATTTATTAATTTAATTATTTTATGGTTTGATTGTGGTGTTGTAGGCCACATGGGCAGCATGCGGTGATACTTGCAGAGGATGCTCCGAAATATATGGATATCCAGGGAGAGAGGAATGACCCGGGCCCGATTGTTAGCGGTTCGCGGCAGATTTATCTGACTTTTCCGGCCGAGAGCACGTTTACTGAGGAAGATGTTTCCAATTACTTCAAGTAGGGCCAGCTGAGTTTGAGTTCCTATCTAATGAGTGATGTAATTGAAAATTGTTTTAACTATTTTTGTGGGTTTTTTTTTATGGTGCAGTACTTTTGGAGGAGTGCAGGATGTTAGGATTCCATGCCAGCAGAAGCGAATGTTTGGTTTTGTGACTTTTTTGAGTGCAGAGACGGTGAGGCTAATTTTGTCCAAGGGGAATCCACATTACGTGTGTGGTGCTCGTGTTCTGGTGAAACCATATAGAGAAAAGTCGAAGCTTGTTGAAAAGTATATTTTCCTTTTTTTTTTTTTTTCCTTTTTNTTGAGGAATCTCTGATTCATGCAATGTTATAGTTATATTGTGGTCTCTGAGCCACTAAATGTTGTCAATGTGCATTTTTTTTTTCTCTGGCTCAGTTCACTGTCGATAAAATTATTATAGGCATGTTTGTCTTTAACATTTTGCTTATGTATACACTTGTTTGCTACTTCTTAACAAGACTAAAGTATATCCTTTATGTCTATATGACTTACTTTTTCATTTCTGATGCAGAAAATACCTGGAAAAATTTGACCATGCTGTTTATTACCACCCACACCCTGCGGATATTGACCAACAACATCAAACGAGTAAGACAACTCTAATCCACTTTTGACTAAGTTAGGTACTGTTGTGAAATTAATTTAAGAGAATTGCCGTATTTGATATTTATTATGATATAAGATTTCTATATCCGAACATGTCACGTGAATTTATCTGTGGAGCCCAGGCTGGGAATCATCTAGAATGTTCCGGAGGCAGCTAATGGAAGAACATGAACACGCCATGGAATTGGAGACAATGCGCCTCTCACAACTCCAGTTAGGCTGCAAATCTTTCCCCATCCAGAATTGTTTGGGTTTTTCCATGGATGAGCTCAAAGTACCTCAAGGTCTTGGACTTTTCATTTTTCTCCTTTCGTTTGGTCCCGCAAAACTCTTTGATATATATTTTTTTTTTTTAAATTTAGTTTTTGATGCTCATACCAAAATTGCCTATCACATATTAGCTGACCACCTCAAATTTCTGTTTGCAGAGCGGTTCATTTCATTGCTTGATGCCTTGAACAGTGGGTCTACTAATGATGACAACACCAAGCTTCCATCTAACAATTGTGGTGACCAGGAGAGGTTGGCATGATTTATACATATATATATACTATATATATATATTATACAATCTTTGTTTCTTGATTTTCTCCGTATTCTTTTTAAATAATTTTTTTTTCCCATTTTTTACAGCTCACAAGGACTTAATCTACCGGAAAGTCCCTTTGCATCTGCAGTGGCTAGCAGTGTTTCAGCAGTTATATAATCAGGAGGACAATACAGATAAAACATTATAGAGTTTATTTAGGAAAAAAAGTTTACATGATTCCTTTAGTCAACAGAAATATGCATCTTTTTTTTTTTAGTCATTTCATTCTCTACCTAGTTGCTGCATAATCAAAAATCCGCTGTAAGTTAACACAAAATGCTTAGAAGAATTCTCCCCACTACTTGGGTCAAATNGAAAGTAGGTGTCTAGCCTCTAGTCGTCTGAAGAAAAGAAAAATGTAATTTACGACCTAGGATTCAGGAGATTGCAACAAAGCAAAAGTACCTGCCAGTATATATGACGTGGGTATGCAAACCGGGTCAAGTATATAACTTGTTTACAGACATTGTTTTACTGGTTCAGAAATAGTTTCCGCTTTCGATTTATATTTTGAATGGCTTATTCGAGGTGGTTGTTGTCATATTGAAATATTTAAATTTTCCATATTTTTTGTTTCTTATATATATCTTGTTTCCATTGAGGGTGATAAGCAGATTATATCTTTTGTTGCTTGTCTTGGACTGTTTTACATTCCTTGTCAATTGCTATCATGTTGGATCTTGGTGGTGATTGCTCATGCACGACTGGATTAAATGATAGGGTTTGATTGGCTCATACATCTTCTTATCTTACTCACTTTTTTTCTTTCTTTTAGTTGAAGATTGATCTTGACCTGGAAATTTTATTATTTGATGTCACTGTTATATGATATTTTGGAGGCATAAAATTTTCTTGATGCTGTTGGGTATTGGTAATTTATTTTGTCCAGCTGCTCATGGTAATGGATAATTGAGAAGAAAATTGATAGATTAGTTGGATTCAACAGTAGTGGTCTTTGTGGGCCATATCCAAATGGGACCATCTCATAATATTAGAGCATCTCCAGTATCAATTTATCAATTTTCTTTTAAATGTCATGAAGAAATGAAATTAATAAAATTGTGTCTCCAATGGATAATATTAAGCGTGGTATAATTCAGACGTGTAAAAATATATTTGGTTGGAGAAGAGAGAAATTGAATAAATAACATAATATATAATAAAAGTTGTTTAGAAGTACTTCTACAACTCATGAATAATGCAAGAGTTGTTGCACAAGAACCTTTTGTATGAGTGATGATTGTCGATTTAGTTGGTTGTGGTTTTTCTTTTTCTTTTTTTTCTTTATCTCTGTTTCTTCTTCATTTTATGTTATTTTTGCCATAATGTTTCTTATATGGAAACTGTTTGTGTTTTGAATATTAGTTGTTTTGAAATTCCTAGAGAATGAAAGTTTGGACGAATTTATTGTTGTGAATTTTCCACAGATGCTTGTGATCGCATTTGTTTTTCTTCTGATCAATCAATTTAGATGTCTTGCTGCGCATTAGAATTAGATGGGTGACCTTTAAAAAAATAACAGTCTTCATGATGACATAGTTGAATGCATACAGAGAGCATAGCGAAATACAAGAGATAATTACACACCATACAACCTCATTCCATCTTATTTTAATTTAGACGAGCTTTCTCTTTTTATTTATTCTATCTTATTTTAATATAGACGAGCCTTCTCTTTTTATTTGCATATGTACGACACATTTTTCACTTTTCTTCATTCTCTTTCTTTTTTCCTTCACCTNGAAAGTTTTTCTCATCGGGTCCCCTTCTCCCTTTTTTCTTGCAAACATTTATTTTAATTTCTCATTCCCCGTTTTCTCTATATTTTTTTGCAGAAGTTTTGTTTTTATCGGATTCTATCGATTTCACAGCGACAGAACTTTCGATCGGTAGGATCCATGGAGTCGTGCCCTTGTTATGAGCGGAGGCTGATTCACCATTACGGTGAGCTCAGATCTATTCCTAAATCGGACGACCCGATCACTATTTGATGGTCCATCACTGACTCCCCGTCGAAGCTCGATTGGCCCGACATCTGATCTCCTGCGAATAAAAGATGTTATCTTTTTTATTTTTATTCAATTGATGAGGGTGAGGGGCCCACGGTTCCGACTTCGATACTGCCGCCGAACAAGTACTACCAGCGGTTTCAGTTTTTTGATAATTTTTTTGGTTTGATTTATCATGTTATGGGATATGTTGTGTTTCTATATAGTATATGTTTCAGTATATGTTCCCGTAAGCACAATCGGCAGTATATGTTGCGTGTATAGACAGTATACACCTGGCCGGTGCTTCATTTGTTTATCATATACGCTAAATATACTAAAATAATTTATTAAAATAATGATTATAATATGTATATATAGGTTATATACTAAACAAAAATTCAAATATCACAATTGTGTTAGATAAAATTGTTATGTAAATAAAAAATCAAGTTATATACTGAATATATACTAACTATAAACGCAATATATATATACTGCCTATTCAAAGAACATATGAACTGAAAACCCACAATATGCTGTTACACTTTATTTGGTAACTGAAAATCCTATAATATGGGGAAGGTAGTTACACTTAATTTGGTAACTGCAAATATTTTTAATCCAATATTTGCGTGATTGTAGGAAGAGAACAACAAATAAAAGCACTACAATCAGTATCCCTGCAATTAAAATCTCACACCTCGTATTTTCACAATATTTTTAAAATCATGTGATATCGCCGAAATACAAGAGGTATGCGAAAATGAAGGGAAAAACAAAAGTTAACAGAATATGATATACCAAAAAATAAAACAACAATGATGACACTGAATGACTAAAACTAGTAACAACAAGATTGTGAAAAACAAAAGTTAACAGAATATGACACTGAAACTGATAAAAAAGGATTACCAAGGAAATTGTGAGTTTGTAGTTAAGAAAAATAGTAAAACGACATTAATAAAGGTGGAAATATGAATATAGATGCAATCAAACAAACACTTAAGTGGAAAAAGAAAGGCAAAAATAAATTTATTTCTGTAAATGTACTACTTATCCTGTCAATTATCCAGGAAAACAAATGCATAACATCTTGTGTCATTCATACATAACAAACTATAGTATGCACCATATCTCTACAATGCAATCTTTGTAAACAAGATAAAATTTATCTTGTCTTGACCAGCCTAACAAACGTGTCCTTATACTTGACCAATATTGCAACTAGCTCAATCTTTCGCCCTTACTGCATAATGAAGTCTCAATTTTGAGTTTTGAACACAAAATTGTTGATGTCTACAAGGAGTAAACACAAGAATATGTGGTAAGTAAATGTATCTTTAGCAAAGTGAGGCTCTCAGCGACAAACTCCAGATCTATTTCCTCAATTGAGATCAATCTTCCAACATGGACCTGCTGAACCACAGAATAATTAAGAGTAGTGCTTGAACAACATACTCAAATATCACAGAAAAGCTGTGCATTTGAACTTTGCATGTCCCCCTTTTTTTTTTAGACCGTCTTGATCTAACAACTAGCCCTTTTTGGGTGCCATATTTTCGAGCAGCACATAACACCATGTTAAGCTTTCCCAGTGTTTAGATTTTACAATCATTGTGACAAATGATTCAATTACTATAGTAGAAGAGACTGGAAACTGGCAAGAAGCTGTGCCAGATTCAGCTTGAAGGTATCTGTATCTCTATGCAAGATATATAATCATGAAGTTTAATGAACTCTAGACTGTAGTGCATATACGCCTCAAAAATGAATTGATTTTACTTAATTTAAGTATTGGACATGCATTCCATCCTCCACAAGTTTGAAGAAAAAATAATTTCCCAAACACCAGTGCCAGAACATTACAGCTTCTGTGCTTTGTTTTCTCTTTTTCGGTGTATTCTTTATTTTCATACGAAGAGGAAAGAAAGAGGTTTTTTGCTTTAGATTTATGCTGTGACGCTCGATCCACATACTTGGGAAGGTATACCATTTTTGCCAAACAATAGATATACCGACGGGTACGGGTCTTGGCATACCCGTACCCGACCCGCCTGCTAAAAAATGTACCCGTACCGCTACCCGATTACACTGGGTTCGGGTTGGATTTTACCCGTCGGGTAATCGGGTACCCGAATTGGTATTGCCGATCGGGTTTGTTCGTGTTTTTTTACCCGGTTCTCACCCAATTACCCTACAACCAACCTGACCCAACCCAAACCCAACTCTGTACGTACAAAAATACACATGCATTCAAACTCATCACCATACCATCAAAATAACAACATGATTGCATTACCACACATAATAATGAATTGTCATCAGATTCACAAGTGAATTCAAATTTAAAACACCTTAGAAGTCATAAACAATACGTCATACAATAGTTCATAACGGATGAAATTTCGATTAATACATGACATAATATGTTATGGTCCCCACAACTCGACATCGAATACCAAACAATATAATATAAACTAATACTTGAGGCCACATTTCCGGTTTTTCCACCCTCAAAATAAGCTATTCATGCTAAAAAATAAGCCTACAAAAATTGTAAATAAAAATACAATTAAACATTGAAGCAACAATTTAATTTGTTTACCTTTTGCTCTTATTTCATCCTCAAAATAAGCTACATTGACGAGCCCACAAATTCATGAAAGTATACAACTTGTAAATATCGGGTTAACAAATTCAAGCCTTGGGAATTCGAGTTAACAGCGCAAGATTTGAGGATATCGTGGGAAAGAAATAAATATCAGGAGGTGGAGGTGCAGAATTTCAGGATACGAAGGCGGGACTTGATGTTTCATTTGTAGCATATTCTATGCAAAATCGATCCTTTATGTTGGTTTGAACTTGCTCAGTGCTAAACCCTGATTAGTGTGGTAAAAGTCTTTTGCATAAAAGCAACCGAGTGAATACTCAGGGTTTAGCACAAGACTTTTACCAGGGTTTAGCACTGAGCAAGTACAAACCAACAACATAAAGGATCGATTTTGCATAAAATATGCTACAAATCAAACATCAAGTCCCGCCTTCGTATCCTGAAATTCTGCACCTCCCGATATTTCTTTCCCACGACATCCTTGAGTGATACAAAACTCAAATCGTGCGCTGTTAACTCTTATTTTCAAAATGATTGTTATTAATACAACAAACTACTTGGAGCCGATGTTTGGATTGAGAAGAAGATCCGAAGTACGTTGTATGAATTTGAAAATGCATACAAGTCTAAGTCCTCGTCGTGTCAATAGGAGTTAATCATCGACTTCTCGTAGAGTGGAAGGAAACAAATCAATGTTGGGATTCGATACCACAAACTTCATGGTGCCTATGGACAATATTGAAGAGTATTTAAGTGAATGGTCAAAATGATAAGTCTGATTTCGATAGATACTTGGCGGATAAATTGTTGCCTCGAACTAATGACTTTGATATCTTGACTTGGTAGACGATAGAGGCGTTAGGTATAGCACATTACTTGCTAGAGATATTTATGTCATTCCTGTTTCCACAGTTGCTTCAGAGGCTGCTTTTAGCACGAATGGTAGGATTGTGAGAAAGCATCGGAGTAGGCTCATGTCAAACAAGCATTAATGGGTTCCCAAGATTGTTATGGAAAACAATTGATGGTTTGACTTATATTTTATTCGATGTTTATGAATTGAGTAATTTCATATTTCATAATAAGCTAACTTTATTTTTTAATAATTATTTTCCAGATGGAGCCTCCACATCCTCTTTTGCTTTCACTTGTGATGAAGATGAGGAATAGGTGGTAAACAAATTAAATTGTTGCTCAATCTTGGAGTGTATTTTTATTTATGCATTATTTATATGTTATATACTTTCTTTTTGCAGGAATTTGTTGGCACGTCAATGTAGCTTATTTTGAGGGATGAAATAAGAGCAAGAGGTAAACAAATTAAATTGTTGCTCAACTGTTAAATTGTATTTTTATTTACGCATTATTTCAATTTTTGTAGGCTTATTTTTGCAGGAATTTGTTGGCACATGAGTAGCTTATTTTGAGGGTGAAAATCTGGAAATGTAGCCTTAAGTAGTAGTTTACATTATGTTGTTTTATGTTGTTTGGTATTCGATGTCGAGTTGTGGGAACCATTTGGATCATATTATTATTGTCGTGTACTAATCGAAGTTTTATCCGTTATGAACTATTGTATGACGTATTGGTTTATGACTTCTAAGGTGTTTTAAATTTGAATTCACTTGTGAATCTGATGGTAATTGATTATTATGTGTGGTAATGCAATCATGTTGTTATTTGTGATGGTAGGTGATGAGTTTGAATGCATGTGCATTTTTTTATGTATAGGGTCGGGTCGGGTCGATTGTACGGTAATCGGGTAAAACCCGGCAATACCAATTCGGGTACCCGATTACTCGGGTAAAACCCAACCCAAACCCGGTGGTGGATAATCGGGTAGCGGGCCGAGTACGACTACATTTTTTAGCAGGCGGGTCAGGTACGGGTATGCCAAAATTCGTACCGGCCCGACCCATTTACAGCCTTAGGGCATGCTGTTTTTTTTCTTTTTTGGCTCGGTTTTTTGGGTACAAAACCGAAGCCGAACCGAGTTTTTGGTAATCTCGATTACAGATTACAAGTCGGTTCGAGTTCGGTTTCGCATTTTGGTGTTACCCAAAATGTTCGTTTGGTTTCGGTAAGTTCATATCGGTTCGGTTACTGAACCGATACCCCACCCACAATTAATCTCTTAGAACCTCAAATGTGGATAATGAGAACCAATCATGATAATATCTGTTTTTTTCATGTGAAAGCAACATAAAACAAATTCAGTACACAAATGACTAAAATATTACCTTGGTATTAGGAGACTGGATGTGCACGGGGTTGGATTGTTAGCATAAGCAGAAGTTAGGACACAGACCTTGCAGAATTCATCAAATTGTTTAGCCAGCCTTAGAAAGAGACTGAATCAAGGCCTGGCAAAGAGCTTAAACATTATAAGTACATTGTGCAACAACAATCAAGTGAAGTGTGTAAGTGTGAAATGGAAGAAGTCAAGATTATGTTTTACCATGGGTAGCTACCCTGCTCGTCTAATGCACGCAGAAAAATATATCTTGTTTACATGAAGAGGACATCTGCTCTTCACCATAATCAAAATGTTAGGAAGGAGAAATCCCTCATTCACTTCCGTCCATACTTTTTGGCAAAATCTTTGAAATGCAGCTTCTGGCGAAAATCCAAGTATTTATCTAAGCTAGTTCCCGCCCACTTCTGGCAAAAGCATTCATCAGTTGGGAATAATGAGCCCAAAGGAAATGGCCCTTTTGGAGCTTTCTTCAATGAAACCAAGAACCTATGGCGGGGCCTTATCCGTTGGTCCAGAGACAGACTTAGGTACATTGGATATTTGGTCAAAGAGTGGGCCTCATTTCTAAGTTCATTGATCAAGTACATATATTTGGGCTTCAGGTTTCCTTCCAGCGAAAGCGAGAATACCTGCAAATGTTGGTAACACCATATATGAGTCGATCCATCTCCAGATTTCAAGGAAAAGTTACAGACAAGGAGAATGCTTAGGCAAACCCAAGTTATTAGTAGAGTTGCCAAACCAATTACAAAAGGGAAGCAGGATGACCTGTGAGAGCCTTGTTAATATTTTCAATATGTCAGAATTTCGCAAACCAATACTTCGTAAGAAATTGATTCTTGGGAGCAGTCCAGCTTCAACACTGTAGTGAAGGATCTGAGGATGCTTTGTGACCATCTTTACAATATTTCGTCTAGGAGAATCCAATTCTTTTATCAGAAAATTTAGACGAGAAGTCCATGTGTTATCTATACGCTGAACCAGAATTTGAGGACTTAGCTGCACAACCTTACTTAATTCCTTCTCAGGTATCCCTATTTCATCTAGCAAATATCTAACCGTGGGCTTCAAGGATTTTTCTATACTGTAATTGAACAACGAGGGGGTGGCAGTAATTATATTCCCTACCCTGGACTCAGGAATACCCAGGCTTCTCAAGAAAGAAACATGGGACTTGAGATTGTTTTCCACTGAATACCCCAGAATTTGAGGCTGTCTCAAAATTATCTTTCTGATATCTTTGTGTTTAACGCCGACGCTTAACAAGTAATTCAGTCTTTCCTCTGCTGATTTAACATTGCTATCAAGGGTTTTCATATGCCTGTCATACATCTGGATGAAGTGAGATTCTTTGAGACCGAAAGTGCTCAGATAATCAAGGAGCAGGAAATGTCTTTCGCGTAAATCTAGTTCTTCTGACAGATTACAAAACTTGCTACTAAAAGAGCTTCCTTCGTCCTGGGACAATCAGAAAACATAGTTTACACATCAAACATGCATTCGAAGTTATACTGAATAGCTAAACACAAAGGCATATATACCTTTTCCTGGGAGTTTACTCTTGCTGTGACATTGCTCGATTTAAGGGAATTACTGTTCGAATAATCTCTAGCAATCTTCTTTGAAGAGTGTATAATGTCCTTCACAGGTGATTTTTCTAGACCTTTCTCAAGCTTATGGGCAGGTTTTGATGATTCCAAATCCCATCCCTTTCCTGTGTGCCTAATGTTGCCTGTAAATAAGAATCTTCCTTCAATACGATTACATTGAAGTAATACAAAAGACTTATCTTATTTCTTGAAGAATACCTCGTCCCTTGATAGCAACACTCTTCAACTTCAGCCGCTGTCTGTCAGCCTCAGAGATTTTAATATCCCCAAAGTCATCCTGGAGACAACTTAAATCATTACATGACTAACAGTTTGCCAATGGTGCAGGGATAACTAAATCAACATGAACTATTTTACTTAGCTTTTCAGATGATTGAGTAGTAGATAAGCGTGTGGCAAGCTGAAAGGAGGCAACTAATTGGATCACATTAGGACACATTCGGATGGAGGTTTGATTTGCAAGGACAATTTGGTAAACTTTATTCGAACGATCCCATGTAATATGGATTTTAAATCCAAAACGACTCAAAAAATAGCTCAAACCGAAGTTTAAAAATCTGAAATTTATTATCCACTGCATTACGATATAATGCAAATAGGCTAATGGACATTTTATACTTCCCATTGGACTTATCGAGAATTAAGCCTAAGGGGCCAGATACTCGATAATCAAAAAATTTCCAGATTGGAAATAATTGACTTTAAGATGATTAAAATGCAATTGTTATGCCCGTACTTTGTCTAAGAATTTGAGTATCTATCTGCAAAAGAAGATGTAGTGAAGCTATAACATACATCTAAATGAAAGAGTGTCGTAAACAACTGAGACACAAGTCTAGTTCTGCTCTACAAACCAATACGCCGATAAGTTCAATTATCTATTCTATTCTCTTAAGATTTATCAATGAGACAAAATTCAGTTTTTCAACAACAACATCACGGTCAAGATCTAGGTCTCTACTCATACCAAAGTAAGAATATATCTACAAAGTAGCATCAAACCACCGTCTTTCGTAACTTTCTTCAATCAGCTGGGCTGAACATAGTAAAGTAGAGATTCTCTTTCAATCAAATAAACATCTAGTTGGAAAAGCGTTGAAGTCCAGATACACGGACTGCGTAAAAATTCAACACATGCAATTTTAAAATTTGTTGAATAATTCAATTTACTAATAAAAATTTTGCATTCTACACTACCGGAGCAAAATAGAAGAAGAATCATACAATAAATATACAAGAAAATAGGAACACATACTTCACTACACCAGTCGTCATCGACTTCGGCATCAGTGCCGTCCTCGTCGTCATCCGTGTCATAGAGGGACGGCGGTTGGCTGGACCTGGACTGGCGGTTGGACTTCAAAATCGTGGGATTGGAATATGATGAGGCAAGTCGCGCTTTTCCGGTGGTGACTCGTCTGCGGCCGAAAAGAGGGTCGGTGGCTAACTTGACAAGGGAGGATGCGCGAGACTGAGCTGGAAGTGTCGCCGTAGTGAGAGATAAAACCGCCATTTTTTTTTTCCTTCTTAATATATATTGCTACATGCTCCGAAACCTTAACAGGAGATTTTTAGGGGAATTGAAAAAGATTGTGTCTGTGAATATTCTTGTATACGGATTAGGGCGCACAAGACCACCTTATCTTCTTCATTTGCTCGTGCCATTTGTTAGGACGAAGGTTTATATAAAGTTCAGTGGTTTATCATTATTTATTAATTTTTTTAAAGATATAATTTAAATACTATATTTTATACTTGAACATTATTAATGAAGCTAGGGACAATTTAAAACCATCCAAATATTTAAATTAAGGCACCCTAGTCTTCAATCATCTTTTAAACTTCTTGTTCTACTACACTCTCTTCCACTTGCATTAAGATGTTATCCTCTTTATTATTCCAAAATTACTCTTATATTCATTTCAATTTAGAAAACATAGTACCACCTTTGTATTGATTGTTAATAGTATTTACTTTGTATATAAACAAGATTGAATAATTCCATGAGTTCATTCTAAAGAGTACTTAAAATAGATTGAATATTACTATGTCCAACATGCTTTCGTAAAATTAAATAATTCCATAATTTTTTACCTTTCTTTGACCGCGATTGCTCTAATTGAGATGGTGCAACACCACCAGTTGGAAAGTTACTGCCCCTAGTTCGTTTTGCAGACGGCTCCTCACCGTTCAACTTCAACCGATCCAGACACCACTCAGCACGATCTTGTTTCGTTTCCTACTCTAGGCATACAAGGGCAAGACTATAGAGATAAATGAAAATCACGACAACAGGTAGAGCAAAAACCTCTTTTCTATTAAAAATTCAAAGAGTATTTATTATATAAGTAATATCCTTAAGGGGGGAGAAAATCTTTTAGTATCTCATATTGGAGGGAAACACTCATAAACACATAAATATGCAAAAAAAGAAAAGAAAAGATTACGACTATTACAATTATTTTACTCACAACTCACAGCTTGAAAAGAATGATTACACACAACTAGTGTTTTAAAACGCGTATAGCAATGTGTCGCGTTTTGGTCTTTATACTGCGTAGCATAAATAGCATTGCGTGTTGCGTAAGCTATTTGAATATAAAAATTATTTTTATAGAAATATTATATTTATACTTGCATATAATAAAACTGGATAGTTGATTCTAAATTTGAATGAACTCAAAATGACATCTATGAATTATTTCTTACAAATGTTTAATGTAAATATCATAATATAAATATTAATAATAAAGTGAATATACTAAAAAGTAAAAACGAACAACGAAAATATAATATGATAAGTCATAACTTAATTTTAATCATATACATTGTAATTGATTTTTTTAATTTAATTACACTTTAATTATAACCAGTAGATCTAAACTTTTATTCTTAAATTTAAATGTCAAATACCCAAAAATATAATGATATAATAGACGTGGACCAATGTATATTGCACTATTTAACTTAGGACTTTGCATTTTTAAACTTTTAATTTGAAATCAATATCAAAATTTTTAGTTTTTAGGTAATAACATAACTCTAATCCTTAAAAAATATAAGTTTTTTTAATATTTTATTGTTTAAATGTCGCTGCAGAAATATAACGTGAACTAGTGCAAAATAAAGTAAAAAAAGCGTGCTATTTCAACATATCGCATAAGCTTTTCAAGAAAAACGCTAAATATTAGCTATGTTTCGTTTTCTAAATAAAAAAGCAATATAGCGAACTATTTAAAACACTGGTTTGTACCTTTTAGTGGGACAAAAATTTTGGAAGATTTTCGCATCAATAACTTCCCAACTTGATCTCCACCATATCAAATCCTCAAATGGGACATACTAAGAATTCAATATATTAACAAGCAGAAAAAGGCCGACCCATGTTGGTGCTTAAACAAAGAAAAATCAACATTTCCTAGTTACCACAATAAGGATGTTTAAATTAAACCCCTTGGCTCCTAACTAATCAACACAGCTGAAAAAAATAAGACTCAACTTTCTTTTATTTTTCTATAATAACATCAAGCAATATTTTCATGGCCCCATAATTATACTCCCTAGGTTTGGCTGACATTGGTTAGAGGGATGTATCGGTGGAGTCTGAAAGCTACGATCTTCAACACGATTATCTCTATGTCCATAAAGATTCAAGCCACTGTTTACGATGCCATAGCAAACAGGGATCTGTGAACCTTGAACAACCATTGTTCTTCCGATTTGGTTCCTAGCAGCTTCATCACCCAACGCCTGCAATTGTTCATTTGTTCTAATCTCAATGTTTCGACCAATTCCAACACCAAGATCAAGGCTGATGATAGAACCACCACTATCTTGGGGCCTCGTTTTAGGAATTCCCGCATACTCATGGCTGCTGTTCTTGGCAGTCGGGACATCATGGTTGTGCTTTCCCTCATAAGTCGTTATGACGGCTTTGGGGTCATGAGATGCCCTCTCGACATGTTTTCGCACGGGACATCCAACATTTGTGCACTTGTAGTAACTCCTGCAAATTGCAGTTAAACATAAGAGACCATGTACAAAGGTTTGATAATTGGAAGATAACTATACAATCTGCATTTCATTCACTAGAAGAGCATCATGAATGGTAGCTTTTTCATAGAATGTGTCATGCTTTATTTCATTTTGAGGGGCATATTCAATAGTTGATGTTTTCCATATAACATATTGTTTAGCTTATGGTGTCACATTAAAAAATTTTATATTAACATAATTATTAAGAGTATATTCATATCAGGTACTTGATGTATATCTTTAAATAAATATTATTGATGAAATAAAATCTATAAAAAGATACATATGACTGGACTATATTTGTGAGTATGAATTATGCTTTTCTTACGATAATACATTATTTCACAGAAGGGAAAAACGTGATATGGATGCAAAAACTATAAGTACAAGCCCAAGAGTTTGCATATATGGAACCATCTTGGCACCATATATGCATTGGCTGCCCGAGTTTCCAGGAACAGAGTGTCCAAATCAGACCAATTAAGCCGGAATTTAACAGGATAGCCAAATATTTCTCGGAAATAAAGACAGAGATGGACATGAAAGTAGATGAAATAGTGCTGAAATATTAAAGATCTGACTTTCACACTAAGGGAAATCACATATATAATGTAAAGTCCTGTTTAGTAAGGCTGCACATACAACTCGAGCTGGTCGCGACTGCTCAAGTTAACTTGAACCCAAAACAAGTTGAGCACAAGACCCTTTTTTGTAGGTTCAAGCATTTGAAGAGCAGATTAAATTATGCATATCACCTAAATATCACAATGCTATAATATTTCCATGCTTTAACTGTTGAAAATCTCGCCACATTCGAGCTGAGGGGGTGTTATCGAGCATCAAGTCAACTCGAGTACACTTATTTCTTCAGCCAAATTGAGCAGCATTTCACGTGGCACTTTGAGTTGAAGCTAAAAAAATCCAATTCCTTCTCGATAAGGTTACATGTAAAGTTTACCACAGGAGCATAGCATATGCAACTACTAACATCATCAGTCACTGCACTACCTAATGGATGGTCATGGACTGTTTTTCTTTTGCAACCCACATAAGTAAAATGAGTAATCATAAATCAAACTTTCCCAAGAAATTCAAGTAATTTTTCTAGCTGCTCAACTCTGGCAGTGCTTGCGTAAGTGTTTCCTTGTTTAGAGTCCACATTTTATCATATCTCCTTGCTCAAAAATGAGGCTTAATTTTTTTTTCATTTCAATCTTTCATAGTTTGCTGAAGCATGTACACAATACATACCTAGGATTTGGATTGCCCCTGACAACTTTCTGGCCGTACTTGCGCCATCGATATCCATCATCTAGTATATCAACGTCGCTGACAGTTTGCACAACAACTCGTGGTTCGCGAATCGGCTTAACAACTGATGTAACATCAAGACTATCCTCCATTTTCCTGGCTCAAATAGTTGAGGAACATATTATAAGAAAGACATAACATGTTATTGATAATGTTATGAATACACATACCTCCGCTTGAGAAAAGGATCATCTGCTTCAACATCGTCATTAACACCTTGAAATGGTGAATCCGTACAATCATTTACCTCCTCGTTTGCTTGTAGAGGAGAAAACATGGGAGAGCCATTTTGCTCCATATTGTTAAAATTCAACTTGCCTTAAACAAAAGAATAAGAAAAAATATATTAGGGTGCCTACACACATGTAGGTTCAAAGAGGTAGTGTAACAAAGATCTGTAAGTAATTTCAGATTTTATTGTTCCGGATAATAATACGAACTTCAACAAATTAAGCCATTTATATACCAAAAGAGCAACAGCATTATTTTAATCTCAAAACATTAAACTAAAAGACATCCAACTTTTTCATTGAATCTACAAAAGAACCCTGCTGAACCTTTTATTTATTGCAAAACAAAAATAAATGTTGTCATTTGCATGTTCATCAAATTGAAATAAAAATCAGTATTAAGTCGGAGGAAAGACATTGGAAACCACAGACAATAATTTAAATTTGGGACAGCGAGCTTAAGTAAGAGAACAGTTGGGCGAACTTCATCTGTTGTCATCTCAAAGAGGGCGAGTGGGTAAATACCAGGAGCAGAAGTAATTTATTTCCTGGATAAACCTTATTTAAGTTTAATTGAGTCATAACAAAAAAATATTTAAAAAATCGTGTTAATGGATATGATTAAGTTTGGGTTGCATAATCAAGCTTATGTACAAGCACGCCAGTTCACCCATAAGCATTCATAGTAGAGCCAAGCTTCACACAACAGTTTTAATGTTCAAGAAAATATAAGAGGAAGCTAGGGCAAGTACCCTCTTGATCAGTTATTGACAAATCTTTTTCCATTTTATCCTCTTTAATGGGCAAAAGAGCCCCAGGATTGTTCCTCCTTGAAGCTTGAGGTTTTGGATGATCATGCGAACCCTTGTAAACAATTTCTGTGATCTGTCCACTTGGAGAACGCTCAAAAATCTTTTTAACCTCACAGTTAGGGTATGTACATTTGTAATAACTTCGAGGAAATTCACTTCCTTTAACCAATTTCTGCCCGTATTTCCTCCAGTTATAACCATCATCTGATGTTCTCTCAGCTGAGACCAAGACACCATCTTTATGGTCGGAGGATGATCCTTGAATAACTGTGCTGGAATGTCCTTGATTTAATTCATCAGTAGTACTACCAACAGCAGATGCATCCTGTAAACCTACTGCCACAGAAGCCAAAGTTGATGGTGCAGAAGCTTGTGAATAGCGTTGATCTTGATGATTCACTGGCCCGTTTCTATTTGATCCTACAGGAATCTTTCCCACAAAGAAAATAGATATTAGCACACACGCACAGCCCTAGTATTTGCAGAAGACCAAACTAGACATTTGCATGTGGCCATTAGAGAAAATTGCATTAAAAATTTTCCAAGAAAAATTTTGTCAACAACTACATAATAGATTTCTTGGGTCTATCAATTACACATTTCACCTTTAGACCAACCACATCACACCAATAACTCATCAAAGACCTTTTGACAAGACAGTGGGAAAGTAACAATAAAATAATATAAGTTGGTTTGGCTGAGGCAACAAACAGAGTTTGAAATAAAGTGAGAAAAAAACAAACTAGAAACCGAACATCTACAATACTGAAATACCCTATAATCCACCAAGTCGATTAGAAATCCTCCAAAAACTAACAAATGATTATAAACAAATACAAAAGAATATATAGTTTTATGTACAGACAATGTAGTAGGAATATCTAAACATAATCAGCCTAATACTATTTGTTGAAGTTAAGTGTGGCTGTTACCTCAATTCTAAATTGAAATCCTATTTTCCCATAGCCATCTATCTTACATAAATAAAACTGGACAAAAGGTGAAGAATGATCTTGAAACTAATTTAAAACTTTTAGTGCATTACCGACAGCCCAGCCGATGATAATCCTGATGTAGAACTAGCCCCAGTTTGAAACCTAAACTCGAAACTGCTGGACATTCTTTCATCAACACAATTTCCACTTGAAACATTTTTCTCTATCAAAAGTGCAGCATTTTCACCAGAGCCATGCGTCCATTGACGCTTGAAAAAGGAACCGGTAGTTGGAGAAGGTTCCGCCTGCAAAGAGTGATAGAGTTTAAAAAAATAAAAATAACAAAAAATAAAGGAACTAAATGAGTTTTCCTGACCAACATAAAATAAGTTGATGCTGTACACCAACTGGATTGCATGTAGCTTCCATTGGAAAACAGTTACATTTGTTAATAGAGAAGAAAAAATAAACCATTGTGAAACCTCAAAGGTTTCTTATTTTCAAAGGTTATACAGCAAGAGATGACATTTATATGCATTACAATGATAAATGTCATACTCCATTCTGACAATCATAATGCCGTAAGTTTTAAACACTTAAGTTTCAGCAAATTTTCCCCAGCAAATGACACGAAAGCAAATTACTAGTCGCCAACAAGTATAAGCAAGATTCATTTTGGTAAAGAAACTACTTCCAGCACTTGATATATTAATGCGTAGAGTCTAAATACTCCCTCAAAAAGAACAAAAATCCTGTATCCGCATGGTGCTGCATTCCCATTTGATGGTAAGGAATATGAATAGTCAGGACACCATTGATATAGAATGTTTTCAGGTTATTTTTTCCTCTTTGTTTCTCTCCATTCACTATATTCCTATTTAAGTCACGTTAGATCACAATGTTCATACAGCAAAGTCAACAAAAGTTTTATAGCAAGTGCCTAAAGCAATTCAACCTAGAAACCAATATAGTAGATCTTAATCAATCAATCAATCAACAAACCGTTAAAATCCCACTGAGTGGGGTCAGGATCTCATGTCGCCATCGTGCTCGATCAAAATACATATCCTCATTCAAATTCAAATATTTTAAAACATTTTTTATTGTCTCCTTCCAAGTTTTCTTAGGTCTACCCCTCCCCCTTTTAATGTGCGTTCTTAATTCTAATGTTTTTAACCCTTCTCATCGATGCCTCGAAGTCTTTCCTACGCACATGCCCAACCTATCTTAATCGTGATTCTCTCATTTTCTCCTCTATGGGCGCTACCCTAACTTTATTTCTAATTTTATCTAACCTAATATGCCCAAACATCCATCTCAACATTCTCATCTCTGCCACTCCCATTTTTTGATGATTTTCATATTTAGTAGCCCAACACTGGATCCATAAAGCATCGTTGATCGAATGGTCATTCGATGGAACTTGCATTTGAAACTCACTGGTACTTTACAATCACAAAGTTTCGACGACGCGTTCCTCCACTTGTTCCATCCCGATTGAATTTTATGTGTTTGTGTTGTCATTATCTTCCATAATGGATCCTAATATTTAATACTTTTAGATATGTTCAATTTGTGTTTTCCAATATTAACCTTTACCACATTATTACTCATTTGATTACTAAAATTATACTCCATATATTTCGTTTTGGCCCTACTTATTTTGAAACCCTTTGTTTCAAGCGCCTCTATCCAAGTTTCTCACTTAGCATTTACCCCCTCTCTCGTCTCATCTACTAACACTATTTCATCCGCAAACAATATGCAATCGGTGACATCGAATTACAAATGTTTCCTTAGTTCATCAATTACTAATGCAAAGAGATACAGACTCAACGTCGAACCTTGATGCAAACCAATAGTGATAGGGAATTTACCCGATATCCTACATCCTACAGGTGTCCTAACACAAGTTTCACATCATTATACATATTTTTATGGTTTCTATATTACCAACTCGCACCCTCCTCTTTTCTAACAATCTCCACATTATACCTCTATTAACACTATCATTTGTTTTTTCAAAGTCAATAAAGAACATATGCAAATTTTGTTTTTTCTCATTAAAATATTTACAAAGTCTCTTTATTACATGAATATCTTTTATTGTTGATATTCCTACCATAAATTCAAATTTGTTTTTCATTATGTTTGTTTCTTGCCTTAGTCTAGTTTCCAGTACTCTCTCATAATTTCATTGTGTGACTTATAGTAGACCTTAATAGAGAATCAAATTACAGGGGCCCAAAAACAAATCACAAAGCTACACCTATATTATTCGTATTATGATATTCCCAGAATGCGCACCCAGTGAGAAAGCAAAATTACCTAACAGCAATACAATGATATATATGAAGTGCGCTCCATCATGACCATAGATTCCCACCAAACAAATTACGTGACGTCAGCATACGGATGTGTTGCTCACTAAACTGAACATTCCTATTCTCCAGAACCCTAACCCAAAGCTGGGCACCGCACAGAAGAATTCTTGGAGACTGTAACGTGTATTAGCAGATAGCATTTATTTCTCATTAGTCTTTACGGCCCTCTTACTTTATTTGGTGCCTCAACAAAGCCGGATCCGAATTCCAATCTCAGCCTAGCCACTAACGCTAATTGCACAATTTGCGAAAATTCACTCTAAATCGCAAGAAATTTCGGAAGAGAGGAGTGTCTGTGCGTGTGTGTGTGTGTGAGAGAGAGAGAGAGAACAGACAATAACAACGGAAGTAGTCTAAAATTACAAGCCAACAGATATAGAAAAGTGACCTTCATGTTAGAGAGAAGAACAGGGGAGTCGAGAAAGGAGGTCGGACTGAGGCCAGGAGGAATAGAAATGCAAGTGGACCTCGAGATCGGGAGCTTGGCCGGAGACATGAGACGGTACCTGGCCCCATTGCCGGATCCGGCGGCGTCGGTCACGTGATCCTGAGAATCAGAAGGGGAGTGTTGAGAGTGCGATGAGTGGGAGTCTG